CTGAGAAGATGAATACTACAAGGGGGAATGCAGGCCCCTGGTCTGCTCTGTCTCACATAGTCCTCCCAAGCTCAGAGAGAACCAGGGACCCAGGCCTGGATCAAGCAGGCTCCTGCCCCAGCGTGTCTCAGGGTGAGAGCTCCTCTTTTTAGGCTCTCATCCCTTCCCTGGTCCGAACTCCAGGTTCTCATCCCAGCATTCTTCTCCCCAGCTTCAGCCTCAGATGACATCTCCGGCCTCCATGTTTCTAAAGCATAAATCTGGTCAATTACTCCTCGGCTGAAATGTCTCCCTGATGCAGGGCAGGCGAGCCCCAAATTGGGGCTTAGCCTGGGAGGGTTCTTGGCTTCATTCAGGGAATAATTCAAGGGCAAATGGTGGTAGAAGAAAGCAGCTTTCTAGAGGTGGCAGTGTCACAATCCCGTGACTGCTCCTCCAGAGCCGGGCTACCCCAGTGTGCTGAGAGCTGCAGCTCAGTAGCTTCCACACTCTTATTTGCACCCACTTTTAAACACATACAAGTTAAGGGGCAGAGTATGCAGAGATTTGTAGAAAAAGGGTGGTGACTTCTGGGTCATCAGGTTGTTGCTGCCATGGAAAGGGGTGGTAACTTCTGGGTGTTGCCACGGCAATGGTAAACTGACATGTCACACTGGAAAGCTCCTCCTACCTCATCCCTGTTTTAGCTAGTCCTCAGTTTGGACCTGTGTCCAAGCCCTGCCTCTGGAGTCCAGTCCTGCTTCCTACCTCATCCTCATTACCTATGGGATAAAGCTGAAGCAGGGTGCCATGTATGACCATGCACTGCATAGCCTACAAAATCGTACACGGCAGGCCTGAGTCCCACCTCATTAATTCAGCAAGTCTTCAATCTCCAGACATTCTCAGCTGGCACCCAAGGGTCCTGAGGGTCCTGTTGCTGCCTTTTTCTTCTGCTTTCTCTCTCACCTACTCCCTTAGGTACCATGTACTTGAGCCACATCAAACATGGTACATCTTTTCACACCTGTGTGCTTCACACACGAATGTCTCCATCTGCTTTCTCTGAACGCTGGGGCAATAGGATGGGCATGGACTTGAAATCCTGTTTCTCTGCCATTTACAGTTAGGAGAAGTTAACCCTCTGAGCCCCAGTTTTCTAACCTGTAAAATGGGATTAGGCATATATAATGTGCCTCTGATTATATGTAGCACATGAGAGCCCCTCCCCCTCCTAAAAGTTGGTTTCTACCTCTCTTTGCATGCTGAACTCCTATTCATCCTTGAAGACCCAACTCAAATGTTACCTTCTTGGTAACATTGCCCTCTTTCCCTTCAAGTGGGTAAAGTTTATCTTTTCCAGTTTCTACTCTTTCTGCCAGCCCTGCATAGCACTTGTAAACCTCTGTTAGAAACACTGTCATATTTTTCTGTTTTCCTGGTTCACATGAATAAAGCACACAGCCAGAAAACATTTGTTGCATGAATGAAGGCATTGGCCCTGGGTTGAAAGCCTTTAACCCTGCCCCTGCCCTGGGTCTAAGACCATGCCCTGGGTCTAAGCCCTGGCACAAGAGTGAAGGACCAGAGGCCAAAGATAAAACAGAGCAGTGAGCAGCCTCGGCCCTTGGTGGGTCATGGGCATGGGGTGGCGGCTGGTCAGATGGTCGGGGTAAGGGCACTTCAGTCTCCTGAAGAGGTCTCTGTAGCCTGAGAGGAGGCAGGGTTTAGTGGGTGTGGGAACCTGAGTTTTTTTTGTTTGTTTGTTTTTTGTTTTTTGTTTTTAGAGACAGTGTCTTGCTCTGTCAACCAGGCTGGAGTGCAGTGGCACGATCACAGCTCACTACAACTTCCGCCTCCCAGGTTCAGGGGATTCTCATGCCTCAGTCTCCCGAGTAGCTGGGACTACAGGTGCGCTACCATGCCAGGCTAATTTTTGTATTTTTTGTAGAGACGGGGTTTCACCATGTTGGCCAGGCTGGTCTCAAACTGGAACCTCAGTTTTGAGAGACGATTGGCAGTGTGAGAGGTTCCCGGTTCCCTTCTCATGAACTCCAGCAGCAGCTGGACTCTGCTGCATGTCCAGCCACCTGGGACAAAGGGGTGAGGAAATTCAACTGGAAAAGAGCAAGAAGCTGGAAAGGTTTCTCTGCGAAGGGGTGATCGAGTAGAGAAGACATAATGAGGAGAGATGGTGAGAAAGGAGAGAGAGGAAGTGGGAGAAGAGAGGGAGGGAGGGTGGGTGGTATGTGTGTGTATGGAGATCAAGAAAGGGATGGGGAGGGATGAAAAGACTCGGGGGAGAGAGACACTGGAGCGGGGGCTGCGGCAGGGGTTAAGACCGAGGGCTATAAGGCCTGGAGCCTCCTGGAGAAAACTCTCCTCTGGTGTTCCTGGGTGGATAGGAGGGTGGCTCCTCCCCTCCTGGCTCCTGGCTCGGTGGTTGTCCTGCCTCCCCTCTGCCGTCCAGCCCTCCCAGCCTGTCCAGCCGTCCAGCCCCTGCCGGGCTGGCTGCTTTGCCCTCAGCAAAAGTCTTAAGTTCTCTGCTAAATCTTCTTAGGGGAAACATGAGCTGTGGCAAATGCAGCAGAAATGATCGCCTTCCATGAACTCTGTTCCATGCTGGGCTAAGCAGGGCCAGAGCAGGAGACTGAGAGGAGTCTCCATCTGGAACTGCACTGGGGCAGTGGGAAGGGAGGCAGGGTCTACCCGGCGGGGGTTCAAGGCCCCTGCCACTGGGTCACATAGCTCAGCCCACACAGAAGGAGGGGCTCTCCCGTTCCCAAAGCTCTTTAGGAGAACAGAAGTGCCACAGCCTCTCTTGCATCGCTTGCTGAGGCCTTCTCAGGGCATGCCAGCCTTGGCTTCCTAGTTGCAGTGAAGTCTGGAGCAGGTCTGGGAGGGGGGCATTCCTCTGGGACTGGTTTAGGGGAGGACTGCCACTGGAAGGAGCTGGGGGTAGAACTCCCCACGCCCAGGGTGGGATCAAGAGGCCATAGTCCAGTTCTTTTTCTTTCCTTTTGAGATAGAGTCTCACTCTCACTCAGGCTGGAGTACAGTGGCACAACCACAGCTCACTGCAGCCTTGAACCCCCAGGCTCAAGTGATCCTCCCACCTCAGCCTCCCAAGTAGCCGGGGCTACAGGTATGTGCCACCACACCTGGCTAACTTTTTGTATTTTTTTGTAGAGATAGGGTCTCCCTGTGTTGCCCAGGCTGGTCTCAAACTCCTGGGCTCAATCCTCCGGCTTTGGCCTCCCAAAGTGCTGGGATTACAGACGTGAGACACCACACCCAACCACAGTCCGGTTCTTGAGGGCGGAGCTGGCAGCTCTGGGGCCATCTGGTTTCGGGGACTCTTCCGGACTCTTCTTGAGGAGTTCCTGTTTTGCCCGCCTGTCCTTGCCTCTCAGTGGGGGCTGAGTGAGACTTTGGAATCCATCAGGGGCACCATACACACTCACTTTGGACCCCAGGAAATCACAATCCTCCTGTTTCCCTGGCAAAGAGGCAGGAAAGGGGTGATGAAGAAAGAAGAGCAAGCGTGTTGGGCGTGTGGGGGACACAGAGTGGTTTAAGCAATGGTTTACGACGTGGAAGCCTGTTGAGCCTGTAGTGCTGTGGCCAGGAGCGTGGGAGGGAGTGTGGCACACCTGGTCTCCCCTAAGACACAGCCACGCCCTCCCAAGTCAGGCCCCCTTCTCTGTTCAGGTCTCCATCTCCGAGGGCACAGCCCTGACTGCCTCAGAACTTACTGTTTTGCAAAGACAAACACTTTATTTTTCATGATAGGAGCTGTAGCGGAGTATATGGGGGCCTCTGTCAGCCCCCAGGCTGGGACTGGGCCCTGTGACCTTGAGAACCTCATCTCACATTCTGCAGACTTTGGCGGCAGGGCAGTGCTCGACCACCGGCTGGGTGGGCTGGTCTCAGCCTCTCCCGCAGGCCCAGGGCTGAAATCATAACCATCAGGCCCAACCTTGGCCAAAGATAATGCAGCTTTGGCAGGGCTAGCCGCTGGGAGGGGGCAGGCACTTGCTCCTCCTAGAGCAAGAGTGGGCTTCTTCCCTGACCCTCCCTTCCACCCCGGTAGTGTGGTTTCCTTAGGAACTCAGGCCTGCGGGAGAAATGGTTCCAGCTTCTGGAGGCTGGGTGGGGGTGGGGGTGGGAAAGAGCCCAGCTCCTCGAAGCCTCTTAGGGAAGCGGCCTCCTTGCATTCTTGACTCTCTGCTGCCCCCATGTGGCTGTGAGGTTGGTTGAAGCCACATAGCAGTAGAGGGGCGTGTGTGTGTGTGTGTGTGTGTGTGTGTGTGTGTGTGTGTGTGTGTGTGTGTGTGTGTGTGTGTGTGTGTGTGTGTGTGTGTGTGTGTGTGTGTGTGTGTTGGAGCGTGGGTTGGGGGAGGGCTCAGCAAGACAGGAGCTGAGGCAGAATCACAGAGAGATGGCCCTTATCTCTACTCCCACCGCCTAATATGCAACATTAGGGCAGCTACGATACCAGCTTTGGAATATTCGCCTATCAAGAAATGGAAAGAAGCTGGGCGCGGTGGCTCGTGCCTGTAATCCCAGCACTTTGGGAGGCCGAAGCAGGTGGATTACTTGAGGTCAGGAGTTCAAGACCAGCCTGGCCAACATGGTGAAACCCCATCTCTACTAAAAATACAAAATTACCCGGGTGAGTGGCACATGCCTGTAATCCCAGCTACTCGGGAGCCTGAGGCAGGAGAATTGCTTGAACCTGGGAGGTGGAGGTTGCAGTGAACCTAGATCGCACCACCGCAGTCCAGCCTGGGTGACAATGAGACTCCGTCTCAAAAAAAAAAAAAGAAGTGGAAAGAAAAGATGGGGTGATACTCATTGGCAAGGGGGTGCAGGACAGCTGGGTCTCCTCTGACCAAGGGGGCAAGTTCCCCCTGCTGAGCTGCCCGAAATACCATACCCAGCTTGGCCTGCAGCATCCTGGCTGGGTGGACCCAAAAAGCCACCCAGAAAGTGGGAAAAGGAACAGAGGAACAGATATGGAAGGAAATAGAGTCTATCAATTCCCGTTTTGTAGCCAATCCTTGAACATCACTGGCTGCAAGCCAGATACCCCGTGGGTCAACGCCAGGCACCTGAAACAGGGGCTGCAGGTCTCTCGCTCAGATATTGTGTTGGCAGAGCCCAGGTCGATGGGGTCAAAGGGTTCTTGGAGGTTATTTTTATGCAGGGGTCTTCAGATGTGGGCATGCTTCAGAATCATGCAGGAGGGTGTTCAAATGCCCACCAGCATCTGAGAACAGCTGATCTTGTCTATTGGTCTCCTTCTGTGGTTGAGGAAACTGAAGCCTGGGGGGTCTGGATGATGGTGACTGCTGAAGGCCATAGCAGGTTCAAGGATGTCAACTTTATACCAATCCCCCTAGTCCCACAGATTGGTCTGTCAATATGGCCACAAGCCACACCCATTCAGGGGGTGGAGGGGGGCTCCTTGGTGAGTCCCTGGAGGTGTTGGGAAGGTGCACAGGCAGTCTCTCCCCTACATCCTTTCTACATCCTGCAGCAGAGCAGTCACCAGGCTGATGACCTGCGAGGCTGGCTGGACCGTGTCATACTCCGCAAAGAGGTGGCACACGTTCTCCTGAGGCTCTGTCTGGCTCTTGGCCACAAACCCAAAGATCCTGGTGGGGAAGGGCAGTCTGAGTGAGGGGTGGGACCCAGGGAGGCATCAGGCTGGTGGGAATGGGGTGGTGGGGGGCCCTCAGCCTGCACCTCATTCCTCCCTGCCCCTCCCTTAGCCAATTGGCTCCAGCACCTCCTTAAGATGGGGCTCTCTGAGGAAGAAGGTGCCTCTCCTGTCAGACTGGGAGATTTCCAAGTTCAAGCTCTGGGTTTCGTTTGTTTTGAGTAGGGGCTCCTTGAGGACAGGACCTGTGCATTCCCCATTAGAGTGGAAGCTCCCTGAGGGCAAAGATGCATCTTGATCATCAGACTGGGACATTCCAATAGCTTGAGGCTCCCTGAAGTTAGAGCCTGTACCTCTTGCAGAAGATTGAGGGCTCCCAGGCTCGTGTCGCCTCTATCAGCCCAGAGGCTCTGAGGGCAGTGAAAGTCTTTCCCATCAGATGCGAGCTCCCTGAGGACCAGGGCCTGTGCCCTCATCAACACCTTGGACTATTAAAGTCAGAATGGGGCCTCTTTCCTTCTCTAGTTCCCTCCCCATGTTGGGTTTGGGGCCCTGAGACGGGGACCCCTCTTTGGTAACAGAGTAGACAGGAAGGCCTTACCAGGAGGGCTTGCAGTACTTCTGCCACCTGTAGGAAAAGAACACGATACCGAGTAATGAGGCTTTGCTCCATGCCACAGGACCCTGAAGGAGCCGCAGGACTGGCTAGCTGTGTCCCCGCCCCAGCACACCCCACCCTACCCTCATTCTGTCACCCTGACCCCTTGAGGTTCACAGGCTCCCTCTGGGATCCCAGTCCCAGAGTCGTCAGGACACCTTGGTGGGCAGCTGGGCCCTGGACGGCCTTCTTAGTTTGGCCCAGCCTTGAACTTACTTCCGTTGCTCAGGGTCCATACCACAGAAGCGGAGGGTAGTGAGGGGGTAATGGCGCCGGAAAAACACCCTAGGAGGAGGTGAGGAGAGAAGGGAAGCGATGAGAACCTGTCCCAGTGTCACCCTGCCTCCAGCATCTCTTGTTCCCCCCAAGCTCAGGTGCCCTGTCCTCTAAGAAGTCTCTGGGTTAGACCTCGACGACCGCTACGGCTTTTCCCACCGGGGGGTCCTGCTGCCCTGCTCCTGCCTCTCTCCTCTCATGGGACTTGTCTGCCTGTGTCTTATACTCTGGGGTTTTCTTTCATACCCCTACCATGCCATTTAACTTTTTTTTGGTCCCCTAACTTTTTGAGGACACGAATTACATCTTGGTCATCTCTTGTTTCTCCCTGTGAAGTGCTCAGCCCTGGATCAGGCTCCTGTTAGACTGTGAGATCCCAAGCCTGGGGAAGGGACGATCTCATTTCTCTCCGGGTCCCAGTGTCAGCCAGAGTCTGGCCTAGGGAAGATGTTCCATCAATGGGTGCAGACATGATCAGCACCCATGAATACTAGTTAACTCCATTTTCCTTCTTTTTTTTTTTTTTTTTTTTTGAGGTGGTGTTTCACTCTGTCACCCAGGCTGGAGTGCAGTGGGGCGATCTCAGCTCACGGCACCCTCTGCCTCCTGGGTTCAAGCGATTCTCCTGCCTCAGCCTCCCAAGTAGCTGGGATTACAGGTGTGCGCCACCACACCCGGCTAATTTTGTATATTTAGTAGAGATGAGGTTTCACCATGTTGACCAGGCTGGTCTTGAACTCCTGACCTCAGGTGATCCACGCGCCTCGGCCTCCCAAAGTGCTGGGATTACAAGCATGAACCACCACGCCCGGCCTCCGTTAACTCCATTTTCATCAGTCACGATAAACTGGGGCTTTGGCAGTGGACTGAGGCCTGGAGGAGGCAGGGAAGTTGCCTGGAGTCACTCAGCACATCACTGGCCCCGCTGGGTCATCCAGGACCCTAAACTCGACCTTCATCCCTGATCCGTGACTGTCTCAGCTATCCCCTCCAGCTCTATGCCGCCAGCCCTGCAGCCCTAGGGCAAGGGAAGGCCCTTACTTCCTCTGGACATCCGTCAGGGTGATGCCCTGCTCTGTGACTTTGAAGTGGACCACGGTGGGCGTGGGGAGGACGTCCCTCTCAAAGGTGGTGGAGATGGCCTTCTGCACGGCCAGGGCTCCGGTCAGGGTCTCCACGCTCACTGAGCTCAGGTACAGGGTGTGGCAGCCTGTGGGAGGCAGACACTGTGCTGGGCCACTGACCCAGGCCCAGGGGAGGGGGTGAGTCTCCTGTTCAGGAATCCAGTGGAGCTCCTCTTAGAGCCACCCAACAGGAAGTGGGTGTGTGGGTGATCACAGTCTGAGGCCAACCCCAGAGGGCTTTGGGATCTTCTGTGGCTTTGCATCGCCCTGGCCCCTGGCCCTCCAGCATGGGGCAGGGGAGGGGAAGTTGCCCTGTGTGTAGGGGTGCCCAGGAAAACATCCTTCTGTCCACACTTAACGACTGCCCTCCTCCCCACACCTCTACCCTCAAGGTCTTGGTTCATTGGCGACAGAAGGGACAGAAGACAAGAACGGGGAGGGAAGCCGTTCGTGCTCCGGGCATAGAGCAGGAACTGTCACTGAGGCAAGTGCTGATGTGTGCTGGCCTCTGGGAGTGTGGGTCAGGGACCTTTCCCCTGGTGAAGGCTAGAGGACTCAGACCTGACACCCCATAGAGGATCCCAAACCTGGAAACACCTCCAGGGCAGGCTCCTCAGACCCAGAGAGACTCTAGCACATGTGCACGTGCCCGTGTGCGTGCCCGAAAGACTGCAAGTTCTGCCACCCCACCACCCCCAACCCCACCCCACTTCCCTGCTGGCCTCTCATCTTGTTTTACAGGGGTGATGGGGGGGAGGGGTGGCACCTTGTTAAAGATGCACAAACGAAGCTGAGATGGGAAACACTTGTGGGCCTGTGCGTGTGTGCGTGTGTGTGTGCGTGCGTGCATGCGTGCGTGTGGGCAGGGTCGGGAGGTGCCCTCTTGGGGCACAGCCAAGCTTGGCGTCTCCCGTCCTGTACCACTCACCTGCAGATTTCCTCTGGCAGGAGGCTGGGCTGTCTGTAGAGTCCGAGGCCCCATCTGCACCTCCCAGTTCTGAGCCAAGGCAAAGAAACAGGCCCCCCAGAGGGGCGGGGGTGGAGTGAATGGACCCCTCTCACAGGAACAGGCCTCAGGAATCCCTTTGAAGATCTCCCACCTCCACCCCCATCTCCAGGAAGTGACTCAAACCAGGTGTGATTACCGTAATTAGGCAAACAGGCCACTTTGGGCTCCCTAAATGCTTAGTTTGCAACCCTTTTGATCTCTTCTTCCCCTCCTCGCCCTCTTAGATGGCTGCCATGATCTTGTCCTCACAGGCCCCTGACCTCCTCACTTCTTTTGGACCCTGTCCCAACCCCTGACCTGTCTTTGTGGAAAGCGAGGAGGCTCTCACCAATGCTCCTCTGGGACTCCCCTGCGCCGATGCCCTTCTTGAGCTTCTCCTGCATACCCTTGAGATGCTCTGTTCCATCTGAGCTGTCCCCCTACCTGGCTGTACGCTCTGGATAGGGCATGCTGATCTGAGTTCAAGGTCTGACTCTGCGGGCCTTTGGGCAAATTACTTAACATCTAGAACCGAATCCTTCCCTTCCCTTCCCTTCCTTTCTCTTTCTTTCTTTTTTTTTTTTTTGATGAAGTCTCGCTCTGTTGCCCAGGCTAGAGTGCAGTGTCGCGATCTTGGCTCACTGCAACCTCTGCCTCCTGGGCTCAAGTGATTCTCCTACCTCAGCTTCCCAAGTAGCTGGGATTACAGCCACCCACCATTACGTCCGGCTAATTTTTTGTATTTTTAGTAGAGATGGAGTTTCACCATGTTGGTCAGGCTGGTCTCGAACTCCTGACCTCAAGTGATCCCCCTGCCTCGGCTTCCCAAAGTGCTGGGATTACAGGCGTGAGTCACTGTGCCCAGCCCTTATTTTCTTATCTGTGAAATGGGGATGATAACAGCAAAGTCTGCTTCACAAGCTTGTAGTGAAGCATGAATGGGTGAGTGAGTGCTCAACAAATATTGGACCCAGAAAAAGAAAACCTCTCCAAACTATTTGATTTAGGCTCTTTCATCCTCTCAAAGCAGGCTGCTATTTATCCAACATCCATTCTATGCCAGGCATTGCGCTAAGAGCCTTGCCTGAGCTATCTCATTTAGTCTGCACAGCAATCCTATAAGTGGGTACCATGATGATTGTCCCCATTTTATAGATGAGGAAACTGAGGCTCAGAGAGGTCAACATTCTTAAATTTTCATAGCTAGGAGGTGGAGATGTTGAGCGACTCCAGTACACGCAATTTTAACCGTGACACTAAAATAATCCACCAACAAGGTAGAAATGAACCCCATTTCTAGTAAGAACAAACAGGTCCCCCACCTTGGCATTCCCTCTTTGGGGCCCAGACCCACCTCTCTGCGGGATGGTGAGTTTGCAGGGCAGGGCCAGGGCCATGATGGAATGCTGGCACACGAAGGCAGAGAGGGTCCCTGAAAGGAAGCAAGCAGCCCTGCATGAGTAGAGCTTCCCTAGCCCACCCCACAGTTCAGAACAGAGACTTCGCTGGTCCCCCATCCCTGGGGAGCCTGGAGGCTGGGGAATCTCACCAAAGTAGGGCTCCTCATCGGCTCCTTTGAGATGCACTCCTTTGGCAGAAGACTCGATGAGGAAGTGTCGAATAAGGTCATTGCTGTCCTCGCCTGGATAGAGAAAGAAGAAAGTGCATTCGGATAGAATTCCACCTTGTGGCTGGGCGCAGTGGCTCACGCCTATAATCCCAGCACTTTGGGGGGCTGAGGCGGGTGGGTCACTTGAGGTCAGGAGTTCGAGATCAGCCTGACTGACGTGGTAAAACCCCGTCTCTATTAAAGATTAAAAAAAAAAAAGCCGGGCGTGTTTCACACGCCTGTAGTCCCAGCTACTCGGGAGGCTGAGGCAGGAGAATCACTTGAACCTGGGAGGCAGAGGTTGCAGTGAGCCAAGATTGTGTCACTGCACTCCAGCCTGGGTGACAGAGTGAGACTCCGTCTCACCGGAAAAAAAAAATGCCACCTTGTCCATCCCCCTGCCTCTCACTCCCACAGAGGAGGTGCCAACACATCTGCTCAATGACTCCAGCCACACCCCCTTCAGAAAACCTTTCTCTTCTTCTTCTTTTTTTGGGGGTGGGGTGGGGAAACCTTTCTGTTGCTCAAGAGTTACCAGGGATTTTTTTGTTGTTGTTAGACATTGTCCTGCTCTGTCTCTCAGGCTGGAAGTGCAGTGGCGTGATCTTAGCTTATTTGCCTCAACCTCCTGGGCTTAAGGAATCCTCCCACCTCTGCTTCCTGAGTAGCTAGGACTACAGGCGTGCCCCACCACGTCTGGCTAATTCTTCTGTAGAGACAAGGTCTCACTGTTTTGCTCAGGCTGGTCTCAACTCCTGAGCTCAAGAGGTTCTCCTGCCTGGGCCTCTCAAAATGTTGGGATTACAGGTATGAGACACAGAGAGGCCTAGGGAATTTTTTTTTTTAATTTATTATTATTTTTTTAGACAGGGTCTTATTCTTTGGTCCAGGCAGGAGTGCAGTGGTGTGATCATGGCTCACTGCAGCCTCAAAGACCTCCTGGGTTCAAGCGATTCTCCTGGTTCAGCCTCCCAAGAACCTGGGACTACATGTGTGCTCCACCACACTTGGGTAATTTTTGTAGAGACAGGGTTTTGCTATGTTGCTCAAGCTGGTCTCAGACTCCTGGGCTCAAGCAATCATCCTGCCTCGGCCTCCCAAAGTGCTGGGATTACTAGCGTGAGCCACTGTGCCTGGCAAGGACACTTCTTAATTATTGTATAGATAAATGTTGACTCTTTGCTCTGGTTTCTGTCTCCTCCTGCCCACCAGGTCATCTTTGCTGGAGCCACGCTGGCCCCGGGCGTGGCAGGGGGGCGGGGGGCTGGGGGAGGCGAACAATGACCTTCTGACTCCTTTCCACCAATCCACAGCGTTCTCCTCAGTCTGGGTTCATTGCCTCTTGCAAGGTGTCCTTTATAAGCAACACCCTCCTCAGAGGTCACTTTCTTATTGTGACAGTGAGGCGTACTGTCAAGAACACAAGGCTGGGTGTTTCATCCTCCCTTTATCACTTAATTGCTCTGGGGTCATTAAGTAACTCTGGGAGCCTCCGTTACCTCATCCATTAAATAAGAAGGTGCAATCCTGGGGTTTGAGTGAGGCCTATGACCCAGGTACTTTGCGTTGTAATCATGTTTTCGTCTGTCTCCCTGGTGAGGTGGCGTCTGGGTCTGATTCCTCTGTATGCCTGCAGCCTCACACAGTGCCTGGTGTGTGGCGGATGCCCTGTGGATGTTTGCTATCCAATGAGCGTGGGAGACCACAGGAAAGCATGTGATAAGAGCTATCACACACACGTGTGCTGAGCTCATACACACACGTGGTAAGCTATCACCCGTGAGATAAGCTAGCTACGCATATAATCACACATTAGGTTCCCTGGAAATGAATCCAGTTTGACTCCAAAGAGAGCAGCCTAGAGGGGGGCTGGGACCCTCCTCCTTCTCTCCCACCGGGAGGAAAAAGCAGGGAACTGGGGGCGGGGCTCGGGAAGGCAGAAGCACTCAGGCTTGCTGTGAAAGGCATTTTTCAGGGTGCCTTGGGGCTGGAGGGCATTGGAGAGAGTACTGGAGTGGACACTTCTCCTAGGTGCTGTTTTAAGACTGGTGCCATGTCACCCTGAAAGCTAATGCCAGAGCCAGGACTGGAAGCTACCACACCCCGCTGCCTCCGTGAGACTTTGAACGAGCACAGAGACAGATGCATACCTGGTCGATTCTGGGCAGATGGGGGAACCTCCTTGACCTTCAGGGCCAGGCCGAAGGAGCCTCGGTATGAAGAGCTGTCCCTTATGACAAAAGCCCCTGGCTCCTCCTTCCTCAGCAGCTCGATTGCTGGAACAATCCTTGAGTCAGAGATGGACACCGCCCCACCTGGACACCCTCTGTCCCCCTCTGTCCCCCGTAACAGAGCACATGTTACAGAGTCACCTTTTGTCCCCAGGAAGTTCTTTCTACTGTCAAATCTCCACCACTCTTGCTGTGGTTCCTACTTCCTTGGGAGGTCATGAGGTCAGCAGGACATCCCCCTCCCCTGCTTCCCTGGACCCACTATTTGCCATTCCTTAACTGTAACCCAGGGCCCTGCCTGATGCAAAGTGCAAGACCCAGATCCGATTCTGGGGTCGCTCATGCTTCCTTTTACCTTGCTCTCGGGTGATGTTTGGCTTAAACCAGTATTTAGATGTGTCCATCACGAACTTCATGGTGGGCTGCATGTCCCTGGTGGGACCTGGAGACAGACAGAGAAGGGGGACCCTGTAGGCTGGACAGATGGGAGCTGAGGGATGTTCACCAGAGAAGGCTGGAGACCCTTCCCTATTCTATTGCTCCAAGGTCTCATTTGACCACCATCCCAGACCCTAACCCCATTGTATCTCCAAACTGCCTACGAGAGGGAAAATCAAACAGAAGGATGCCAGGGTTTGGTGCATCTAGAACTCAGAAGTGCCCTTGTATCCTTGGTAATGAATAAAAAAATGAATAGATACAACCTTAGTTTAAGGAGAAATGGTTTCTCAAATCTAGTGTTGAGTCCCCTGGTGAGGACTGAAATAAGAGATAAACAAGGAATTCTCAGATGCTTCATGTTTGATATCACATTCTCCTCCGTCTTCATAATCCTAAGAATTCCTCAGGGGAATATTCAGCTTGGAAAAGCAAATGGCAGAAAACGTGAAGGAGAGGAAAATAGCAGATCCGGGCAGAAAAACATGCCCCTGGGAGGTGGGAGGCTGGGTCTTGACTCTGATATGGGATAATCGAAGCTCAGAGGGAACCAAGTGGACTAAACAACTTCTGAGGGTCTTTAATGTTCCAGTTGCCTATGAAATTAAAATGAATGTTGTTTTGAGAATATTTTGCAGAATTTGAGAAGATCTGGGGGTACAGTTAGTGATATTATGGGACCAAAGCAGGATGGGAATATCACTAGGCTAAGTAAATGTACTCTTTGAGATGCCAAAATGGCCATTTCTCTGGGTCCCTAAGGCAGAGAGCAGTAGCTGTCAACCTTGGCGGCTTGAAAAGGAGTGTTGTGACCAGTTACTCTCAAGTAACTCATTAAAAAAAAGTACTGAAATCTGCAACTGATTCGTCCTAGGAAATCGATCAGGGCAGATGCAAAGGCATGCTGGAAGTGTCATTTTCTCCTGCTTGCCTCCACATGGCTTTGTGAGTGGGAGGGAGCAGTGGGCTATAGTAAACATTTCACCCCACTCCCCCAGAGTTGCCTTGATGCCTGTGAATGTCATGGCCAAGTGGGGGCTGAGAAGCCCTCCGATGGCCGAGGGAGGGGGAACAGGGGGTTGGCAGGGGACTCTGCTCATGGGAGAGGCATCCAGAGGGTGCTAGAGCTTAGCTTCTGTGTTTACTGCCGTAGATTCTGGTTGATTTTGTTCTCCTTGGACGCCTGTGGTCTCAGACCCCGGGAAGGAGGGTGTTTGCTGTTTTGTGGTTTTCAGCTGTCTGAACTGGAATGCATTGTCTCTATTGCCCCATCCACCCCCTCTGCGTTCTCGTCATCCATGAACGTCAGAGTCAGAACTGACTCGCCCTCTTGCTCTCCTTAAGTTAGTCATCAAGCACATCCTGAGGGTCGCCTGGCTCTGTCCTCTCTCCTCCACCCCCACTGCCCCACCCCGGTTCAGGCCCCTGCTATTCGTTGAGCTGCCAGGGTGATCCATTGAGTGTGCACCTCTGACCCCATCACTTTTCTGTGTGAGGCTCACTGATGGTACCCCATTGCTTAAAAGGCAAATTCCATTTTTCTTTCTTTCTTTTTTTTTTAGTTTGGCATTGAAGGCCTTTCACAATCTGGCTTCAAATTACTCTCAATGACTTGAACCTGCACCCAACATTCCGGCATTTCCTGAACATGCCATGTGCTTCCACACCTTCCCGACTGTGGACTCCCTGCTCTCTCTGCTGGGAAAGCCTTTCCTCTGCTTCTCTGGCCACAAACTTCTGATCTACTTCACAGATCCAGCTCGGATGTCGCTTCCTCTATTCTCCAGACTGAAAGAATCATTCCTTCTACTGTGGCCCATATGATTGAGAATATCTCTTTACCTCCACATTTATCCTACCCTACCGTGAGGATTTGTGTTTGTCTCTTTCTAAACTGTGTCCCTTTGTGCGTCCTCGCTACCTGGCATAGTACCAGACACACAATAGTTGCTCAATAAATGTGTTGACTGGCTGTTGCAGAAACCTACTGGCACTTTATCTATTCCCCCAAGCCAAACCTTACGTTGCTTGAAATATTGGTTTACAACGTACCCTCTGGGCATGTGGTGAAGGGGGCATCTGACAGGGTCTGGCTGTGGCTCCTGGTGCCTGGACAGACCTGGTTGCTGGGAGAAGCAGCTCCAGGTCGAACAGAGCTCTGGTGTCCTGGGCTCCACTGGGGTGGAGAAGACCCTGGTTCTGGGCAGCCGTTGATCAGCACAATGGGTATGTCCACCATGGAGTTGGTGATGGATGGGGGGCAGCTGCTGGCATGTTCTTTGGCCAGTGGTGGACAGTGGGGTGCTCTGGGTTGGCCCATGGTTAGGGTGGGGTTTCTGGGAGCCTGGAAGTCACTGGGTCTCGTACACAGGGACACTGAGCCAAGGCTGTGGAGGCTGGAGGAAGAGCTGGCTGGACTTTCCAAGGATCTGGAAGATGATTGATGACTGGAGTTGCTGGAGTGCAGGAGGGACTGGCTGCTGCAGCAGGAGAGTCAGACAGGTTGTTAGGGCAGCAGGTGGCTCAGGGGCTAGAGCCAGGCTCTGGATCTGGTGATCTGGGTTCCCGTGGCTTTGGCTAAATAGAACACTGCATACCCCACCCCGTACAGCCCACAGCAAAGTGCACCCCCACCTAATCCTTAAGAGATGGTAAGGATACAGAAATGTCCCTGGATGGTAGGGTCTTTGGTCATTTAAAGTAGCCGATGAGCTGACCCCTGCAGGCTTTGGGCATAGGCTGGCCCCCATTCCGTCTGCCTTCCCAGCCAGGTCGTTCTGACTGAGCTGTCGGATCAGGATCTCCCCAGGCCCCCATGACTCCCAGGAGCCGTGCAGATGGGCTGGACCTACGCTGGACCACAACGTGGCTGATACAGAGGGAACTCCCCAGCTGCAGGAGGAGGCCAGCTTCCCATCCAGCCAGACTTCTCCCCGAGCTCAGAGGCCTGTGCCAGTGGGCATGGCTGTGGAATCCCCAGCCTCTGTGCCAGGGACTGCCTTGGCCAGTGGCTTTGGAGGTGGAGTGGGAAGCAGAGTCCTGTGGTTCGGTCTTCCTGGGGCAGAATGGGTGTGCATGTGCCTGCAGTTCTGCTGTGAGGTCTATAGAGAATTGACCTGGGATGATTGTAAGCGATGCCTAGGCAGGGCATTCCCTTTTGGTTTTGGTGCATGCCCAGATTTTGCTCAGAGTAGGGTGCCTTTCAATGATTTTAGGGGATGTGTGCGTGTGTATGTTTGTGTGTGTATGTGTGTGCAATGTTAGAAGCTACCGAACCTACCTTCCAAACATGTAGCTGACATCAGACGCTGGGCTGGCTGATAGCACGGAGATCCTGCTGGCCCGCTGTGGGGCCAGGCCTCCCAGCCGCTTCTCCAGTCTTGGAGAAGCCACCAGTGGGGAGCCCAAGCCATGGGGGCTCAAGGCTTTGCTCCCCATGCAAGGGATTGAGATACTGGGGGAATTTGGGGGTTGAGGGGAGAGACCCTCTGAGGGGGGCAGAGGGCGCTGGTGCCCCCTGCCCTGGTTCCCAGAGAAGATGAGACTCTCACTGCTGCTTCGTGTCTCTCGGGGGACGTCTCTGGAAAGGAGGAGGCCACCACTGCGAGGGGAGCCGAAGGGTGGGGTGACAGAGGGGCTGGAGCAGCGTTGGGGGCCATCATGGCACCTTGATCTGGCGGAGGTCACCTCGATGTACTTTATGTCTTTGGGGGAGAAAAACAGAGCATTGGTGAAACACAGGAACCTGGACTCATAGAACAGAAAGGCTGGAAGTGTCCTCAAGGCCATTCTGTCCCCTCTTTTATAGAGATGAGGAAACTAAGGCGCAGAGAGGAGAGCCCAACTCCATCTTCAGGGCCCAGTTCCAAAGTCACCCTTCCTGTGACAACTCAACTTCTCTTGGGTGAGGAGATGCCGTAGAGGACCGAGGCCTTGGAATGAGACAGACCCAGGCTTCAGATCTGGCTCTGCTACTTTTTCTCTGAGAGAGTTTGGCCAAAAGACTTCACCACCCAGGGTCTCAGTTTCCACACCTGTAAAGTGGGGCAACTGCATCCAGCCTCTTGTTGTTACAAAAAGGATGAAGTGACACTTGTGCAGGCAACACAGCACTGTTCTTGGCACAGAGCAGGTGCTTAAAAATTGGGCAACCCTCTCCTTTGTCTGTGCCCTTTTCCTAGGTTGAAATGGCCACTTGATGGGTTGTACCAGTGATACTTTCTGATGCCTCTGCTACTCAGGGTGTGTGAAAGTGGTTTCTCTGAGGCTGGGCGCAGTGGCTCACATCTGGAATCCCAGCACTTTGGGAGGCCGAGGCGGGTGGATCACCTGAGGTCAGCAGTTCAAGACCAGCCTGGCCAACATGGCGAACCCCATCTCTACCAAAACTACAAAAATTAGCCGTGCGCCTGTAATCCCAGCTACTTGGGAGGCTGAGGCACGAGAATCGCTTGAACCGGGGAGGCAGAGGTTGCAGTGAGCCGAGATTGTGCCACTGCACTCCAGCCTGGGTGACAAGAGTGAAACTCCATGTCCAAAAAAAAAAAAAAAAAAAACAAAACAAAACAAAAAACCAACAAAAAACGAAGTGATATTTCTGTACCTGCAATGAAAGCAGGGATTCCCAAGCTTGGTTACACACTAGACTCACCCCAGGCTGCGCCTCCTGCCAATTAGATTAAACTCTCAAGGGTGTTAACCCAGGCCTCAGTTTTGTTTGTTTTCCAGTTTTTCAGGTGAGTGCAGTAGACCATGAATGGCCCAGCAGGACCATATCACCTGGGCTCCACCCCTACGGAAACATAATCTGCATTTTAGCGAGGCCACCCAGGGCATGTGAATATGCAGTGGAGTTTGAGAACCCTGCTTTGGAGCAGGCACTCCCTGAGCGCAGGGCTTGCTGCATTCTTGAGCTATGGATCTCCCGGGGGGATCGTAACTGGTACACAGGGATCACCCAACACACCCCAGGCTGCCGACTCGCTCCAGCGCCCTTTCCGCTCCCCGGTCGGGGCACCCGGGACTCTTGGGATTCTGAGGCCTTGTTCCTCTCCCGAGGTCAGCCTAGGAGTGGGCTGCTCTGCGGTTCTCCCTATGGTGAGGATGAACACCCTTCCTCCCGACCTGGGGGAGGGGAATTGTCCTTGGTCTTGTTCCAGCAAAGCTGGAGGAAGGTGGGGGTTAATGAGCTGCTCTTTTCTGAAGAGTGTGAGTCTTGCCTCTGGCTTCCTGGCATGGAGGCTGGGGAAATTGGGGAGAACGTGCACCCTCAGCTCCCACCTGCCTGGGGCCCTGGCACATGTACTGTTCCTCCCCGTTATGACTGTGGAGCCCCAGCCTGCCCCAGCCCGCTCCAGGGTAGGGCCATCTGGCCCTGCTCACGGTTACTGCCTCTGTCTGAGCCTGCTTGGGCCACACGGAGGGGGTGGGGAGTTACATCAGATGAGCAAGGGCTGGCAGCTGACCGGGGCTTGCTGCTCAGCGGGTGGAGGAAGAGCCTGGCTTTGTAGCAAAACAAACCTGGGGTGAGTCCTGGCTTTGCTGCTTTTCAGCCAAGGGCATTGTGTAACTTTCCGACCCTCTCTGAGCCTCTGTTTCCTTATCTGCAAAGTGAGGATCTGAAACCAGTCTTCCAAGGCTGTGATGAGGATGAAATACAATAGCCTGGAGCCCGGCCCATGGTGAGGCTCGAGAGAGGAGCCTTTCCTACCTGCCTGCTTTTTGGGGGCAGTATTGGCCAAATGGAGCCCTCTTTCTGGCTAAGGTTGGGGATCTCTCTGCTTAGAAAGATGACTGCAAGGTGAGACTCTTTGGGGGACTGTATGGTGGGCTCCGGAAGAAAAGAGATCTTGGAATGGGCTGGATTCTTCTGGAAGGCTGGAAAGCACAACTTCAATTTTTATAGGACTTTATAGTGTTTATACCCATAATCTCCTCTGAACCTCGTAACAGCCCTTGAGCAGGGCAGGCATTAGTTTTTACAGAGGAGGAAACTGAGGCTTGGAGAAGAGTGGGGATGGAGCTAACACTTAGTGTACAACGATGTTTCATAGAGACTGGTCTTTATTGAGTGCAATGTGCCGGGACCACTACGAACACATTGCTTGTATTAGCTCTTTTAACCCTCGTGACAACTCTATTGAAGTAGGGAATGCTATTAACGCCCATATAACAGATGGGAAATCTGGAAGGCTCAGAAAGGTGAAGTGAGTTATCCGATGCTGCAGAGGCAGGGAGCGTTGCTAAGCTCTGTTTAGGGACTGCTTCTTCCAGGATGAGCCCTGCCCCAAGGCCTTGCCCCGTGAGAAGGTGCTTGGCTGCTTTGGGGAGGATCTCTTGGCCTGGTGAAGCTCTGGGCTCCCCACTCACTGGGTCATCTAAACATCCACCAGGGACCTTGCTGGGGGCGCTGAGTAAGGAGAGTGGGAGGGGAGGGAGGAGCCCCGTGCTCACCTTCCGTGGCTGTCCCAAGGTGGGTGTAGCTGGGGGGGTGGGGCTGGGGGCCTCCACCCACCGCAGGGGTTTAGTCGCTGTTTACTGGCCTGTGGGGCAAGTCTGAGCAGTGCTGGGTGGGTGCCGGCACCAGCCCCAGGCAGGCGGGTGAGTGGAGGGAGGGCATGTAGGTGAGGGGTGGAGAGACAGTTATTAAACCCCCTTCACTTGGGCTGGTAAACAGCCTTGTCTGGCAGAAATTGCTGGAAAATGAAAGTGGGGGCCTGTTCCAAAGATGGGGTGGGGGACGTTGGAGAGGATAAAGGAAGAGACATGGTGTTTGCTTCTAGGAACCACATTCCCTGTGGGATGGGGGCGCCCGGGACAAGTTTAAAGGAAGGCAGGAGCAGGGAACCTGGGGAAGGTTTGTGAAGCGCCCAGGAGGATGGGTCTCAGAAGAGGAGCCTGCAGGCTGTCTCCAACCTGATGGATTCTGTGATGCCCCAGAGGGCAGAGGACTAGACTTTAGAAAGAGAGAAAGGACAGTGGCCTACGGAGCCCAGAAGGCTGGGGTTTGAGGCCTGACCTGTCTCTCCCTGGCTGTGTGACTGTGAGCCATCACACACCCACCCTGAGCCTCAGTTTCCTCATCTGTAACAGGAGGTTTCCACTATTTCCTTCAAAAGCCAGACACTGGGATCATGGATTACATGGACTCTTTTTTTTTTTGAGACAGGGTCTCACTCTTGCCCAGGCTGGACTGCAGTGGCAGGATCTTGGCTCACTGCAGCCTCCACCTCCCAGGCTAAGGTGATTCTTCCACCTCATCCTCCCAAGTAGATGGGATGACAGGTTCGTGCCATCACACCCAACTAATTTTTGTATTTTTAGTAGAGACGGGTTTTCGCCATGTTGGCCAGGCTGGTACACGGAATAGTTTTTTTTTTTTTTTTTTTTTTTTAAATTCTGGGCTGGGTGATATGGCTCACGCCTGTAATCCCAGAACTTTGGGAAGCTGAGGAAGGAGGATCACTTGAGGCAGGCTGGGCAACATGGCGAGACTGTGTCTCTACAAAAAGTTTAAAGATTACCGGGTTGGCAGGGCGTGGTGGCTCACACCTGTAATCCCAGCACTTTGGGAGGCCAAGGTGGGTGAATCACTGAGGTGGGCGAGGTCAAGAGTTCAAGACCAGCCTGGCCAACATGGTGAAACCCCGTTTCTACTAAAAATACAAAAAAATTAGCTGGGCATGGTGGTGGGCACCTGTAATCCCTGCTATTCGGGAGCCTGAGGTATGAGAATCGCTTGAACCCTGGGAGGCAGAGACTCCATCACCCACCCAAAAAAAAAAAAAAAAAAAAAAAGAGATTAGCCGGGCGTGGTGACATGTGCCTGTAGTCCCAGCTACTGGGGATGCTGAGGTGGGAGGATTGCTTGAGCCCAGGCATTGAAGGCTGCAGTGAGCTACGATCACACCACTGCACTCCAGCCTGGGCAACACAATGAGACCCTGTCTCAAAAAAATATATGTATATATATTAGGGGAAATGTCAACATAGAATTGCCAATGTTTAATTTTAAAATTGTCCACGTTAGGACGAAGAGGAACAGTAAACATCTCCTAGCACGGTAATGTCAGAGTTCTTTCCTTGAACAGCCCAAAAGTAGGAAGGATGAGATTGTAAAATGGCAGGGGATCCTCCACTCTGAATACATTTAGAGGTAAGAGAACTCACCACAACGCTCAGAGTTGTAGGCTGCCATGGGCCAGTGAGAGCTTTGTCACCAGCAATAGGGTCTGCGGGGAGGATTTTGGGCGCAGGTGCCTGCTATTCTTAGTGATGGTGGAGAACTTCTCAATGGGGAGCTGACCTGGCTGGGCTGTCTTAGGAGGCAGTGAACTCCCAGGCATTGCAGGTGTCCAGGCGGAGGTTAGAGGAAGGGATTTTTTTTTTTCCTCCATCAGAAGGGGCCAGGGCAGGGAGGCAGCTTCCTCAGGACCTTCTGGCCGCTGCCTGCCTTACATTCCCTGTTCCCCAGAGTTAGGTGGACACACGTTCACAATGGCATGTGGTGCCCGGGGCATCTGTGGATGTGGACCCATGCCATCAGCCCTAAGCTGACCATGAGCCCCTTCCGTGGAGGAAGGGCCCAGTTGTCACCAACCCTCACCCAACATGTGTGGACGTTCCACAGGGACTGGTTTTGCCCCACCTGGCCTTGGATATGTGGAACTCCTGTCCTGGGGCATGAATGGTAAGAGCCTGGGCTTACTCCTGCCAACAGTAATTAGGCCCAAGACGCCTTTCCTGCAGTGACGTGCCCATGACTGGCCTTAAGAAACAGGAAGACCCTTGAGGGACGGTTTCTTTAACAGGCCTGGCAGGCAATGCTTGGCGAAAGGGGGCAGAGCAGGCAGGAGCCCAGGAGCCCAGGAACCCGGGGTGCCAGAGGGCGTGGGTGCTGGGCTGGCCTCCACCTCAGAGCCCAAACCTACCCTGGGGCTAGCCCGACGTGCAACCCCAATGTTTAATAAAAACAGCTACGATTTAGAATAGCGTATAGTGTGCCAGGATTAGTGATAAGCAGCCAACAAATGTAATTTCTTTCAATCCCCATAACACCCTTTGAGGTAAGAACTCTCATTATCTCCATTTCTCGGATGAGGAATCCGTGACACAAAGCGGTGAAGCAAGCAGCTTGTGAAAGCTCTGCCTGACGCCAGCCATTAGGCTAGACTGGCTCCTTACCCAACCCCAGCAACCCCAGCTTTCTCATTTGCGAAACGGAGATAAAATATTTGGCCGGGCTCACGCCTGTAATCCCAGCACTTTGGGAGGGCGAGGTGGGTGGATCACTTGAGCTCAGGAGTTCGAGGCCAGTCTGGCCAACATGGTGAAACCCTGTCTCTACTGAAAATACAAAAATTAGCTGGGCCTGGTGGCAGGTGCCTGTAATCCCAGCTACTGGGGAGGCTGAGGCAGGAGAATTGCTTGAACCTGGGAGGTGGAGGTTGTAGTGAGCTGAGATTGTGCTGTTGCACTCCAGCCTGGGTGACAGTGAGACTCCATTGAAAAAAAAAATCAGCTCAGGGAGTGGATTGAGAGGATTGAAGATTCCACATAAAGTGCTCAACACAGTGCCTTATATATAATATGTGTCCAGTAAGTGGAATATCTTATGGCTCCTATCTCTAATCCTAATGATGCACCCCCTCACCCTTGCTGGTCTTCCAACCTGTCTAATGTGCCTGCTCCTTGACCCTCATCAAGAGCTTCCTTGAAACTCTTTGTTCAGGAAACTGAAGCCAGATGTAGGAATTTCCAGGTTCCTTTGGACTTGGTGGTGCCCTGGAATTGGCTTGTATCGGCTGGTTAAGAGCTGATTGTTAAATTTTCAGGATTTTGTCCAGCTGGTTACTAAACCCAGCCATTGAGTAATTACATTATGTACACTTACAATGAAATAACTTCCATTAAAAACAAAGGTAATAAATACTCAAAATTCATCACATCCCAATTATTTTACAACAATGTCTCCCCACCCTCCTTATTATTGTCTGTGCTGTCAGGGTTATTGACCATCTGTCGTGTCGGTGTGGTGGCAAGGCTGTGTAACAGCCTGCTACTCCACGTGTCTCCAGCTCCTCATTCAGTGACATCATGTTGGTAGCTTGAAATTGGCCAAAGGGGGAGAATTTACACTGTGGAAATGGGCAGAAGCTTCAAATCAGCTCCCTCTGCCCCTGCTCCCCAACCAGGGAGCCAGGGAAACATTCACCAGCATACCACTGCTTGAACACTACTGGGTCCTTATCCTACCATTTCCAGTGTAGGCCTCTCCGGAAAGATACCCCCCTAAACAAGGACAGAGGTCCAGATAGCAATCCTACCAACATTTCAGGGGGGCCCCAGGTGAGGCTCTGAAGTGAAACACCCTAGGACAGTGGGGGTCAGGGATCCACATTTACTGAGCTCTTCCTTATGGGCATGGTACTGCACAAAACACTTTCTATAGGAGCTTATTTGAGTCCTCATCAAGTCATAGAAAATTGGTATCTATCACTTTCCAAACTCAGGAAGCAAATAGAATTGGCTAGTGAGGGAAACTTGTATTTATCCCTTTTGTGTAGCATAGAAAACAGAGGGGTTGGTAACTTGGTTAGGTTTGCACAGTATCTCCCAACAGGACAGGGTCCCCTTCTCTGTACAAAGGAAAGTCCTTCTTCCTCATAAGGTCTGGCGCCAAGCCCTGCTCCTAGTACTGTGCCCCAAATCCTTACCCAAGGCTTCAGGTTCCTCCTTCTTTCTCACTGACATGGTGCTCTGGGCCGGCTCAGCCCGGGGGCCCCCAGTCCCTTGGGGAAGCAGCTGGAAGGTGGGGTCCAGTTCCAGGATCATCTGATTGAGGCTCTCCAGTGAGAAGTCAATGTAGGAGTCAAGGTCTTCCGGGGTTCCCAAGGCCTGCTCGCCAGGGGACGGCAGGAAGCAGGTGGCTTTGGCCTGGGCCTGTGGGGCTTGCTGGAGTCGGTCAGGGGGCCCCATGCAGGGCACGGGGGCCATCAGGGCCTGGGCTCCCCAGCCTTCCGTGGTGTAGTAAGAACACTGGGGCGGCAGGCTGGGGCTGGGTGCTGGGTGCAGGGTCCTCCTGGGCTCGTCACAAGGTGCCAAGCTGACAGCATGGCCTCCTGCCAGCAGTGGGCTGGACATCACCTGGGACATGGTGGGGATGGTGACCTCTGCGGTTTACCTCTGGTTTTCAACCAGCCTCACTGACATCCCAGAGATCTCACTTGCCAACCAGAAGCTCCCAGGACCTGAAAGAGTCCAAGAGTGGGAATGGAGTAACTTCTGTAGGTGAAGCCCCTGCCTCCCCACCCTCCATACAAGAGCGAATTTATTCATTCATTTAAAAGCATGGATGCTAGAGCCAGACCACCTGGGTTTGCAGCCTGGCTCCACCACCTACTAGCTGTATAACCTTGGGCAAGTTAATTGACTTCTCTGTGCCTCAGTTCCCTTGTCTATAAAACAAGTTAATATTTGTAATGTGCTTAGAACAGTGCCTGGCACAAAACAAGCCCATTATGTAAGTGATCATTAAATAAAGTAACTTCAGGCCGGGTGTGGTGGCTCAAGCCTCTAATCCCAGCACTTTGGGAGGCTGAGACGGGCGGATCACGAGGTCAGGAGATCGAGACCATCCTGGCTAACACAGTGAAACCCCGTCTCTACTAAAAAATACAAAAAACTAGCCGGGCGAGGTAGCGGGCACCTGTAGTCCCAGCTACTCGGGAGGCTGAGGCAGGAGAATGGCGTAAACCCGAGAGGTGGAGCTTGCAGTGAGCTGAGATCCAGCCACTGCACTCCAGCCTGGGCGACAGAGCGAGACTCTGTCTCCAAAATAAATAAATAAATAAATAAAGTACCTTCAGTAGCTGTTTACTGAATATCTACTACATCCCAGGTGTGTTTATTAAGTAAATACTACTTAATGTTTACTGAGTAATTATCCACATAAGCTCTGGTATTTTAAAAAATCTTCATCACAACTGTATAAGGTAGGTACTATTATCCCATTTTACAGGTAGAGAACTGAGGCACAGAGAGGTAAGTAACTTGCCCAAGGGTCACACTGCCAACAAGTGTCAGAGAAGGACTGGGCCCCCGGCTGCGTGATGTCCGAGTGCCTGCATTTGGGCCAGTTGGTGAAACAGACAAGTAAGCGAGCGAACAACTGTAAGCAGTGTCACGAGGAGGAGAGGAGGGACAGTGGACTTTCCTAGTTTAGTGGGGGAGGTTAGGGAGGCCTTCCTGGAGGAAGGGACATGCAAAGGGAGATAAGCAGGAAAAGCAAGAGGTAGCTGTGGAAGATGGGTAGGGATGAGGAGGCAGAGAGGAAGGTTTAAAGTAGAGGGGATGGGCTGGGCGCGATGGCTCACACCTGTAATCCCAGCACTTTGGGAGTCTGAGGTGGGCTGATCCCTTGAGGTCCGGAGTTTGAGACCAGCCTGGCGAACATGGTGAAACCCCATCTCTACTAAAAATATAAAAATTAGCTGGCATGATGGCGCGTGCCTGTAATTCCAGCTACTCAGGAGGCTGGGGCAGGAGGATTGCTTGAAGCTGGGAGGCAGAGGTTGCAGTGAGCCAAGATAGAGCCAATGCACTGCAGCCTGGGCCACAGAGCGAGACTCTGTCTCTAAATAAACAAACATCAAATAACTACATAAATAAAACAAATAAATAAATAAAGTAGAGGGGACCATTTGTGCAAAAGTCTGGCCAGCAGGGAAACTCACAAGACACTATTGAGCACCTGAGTAACAGGGCACCTGGGGTGGGTAGAGGAGATGGGGCGGGGGAGGCAGGCTGGCCAGATCCCGCAGGGCCTTGCAGGCTGGGCTCAGGACTGCCAGCTCAACCCTGAGGGGCAACAGGGAGCCTCTGAAAAGTTTTGAGCTGGGGAGTGACATCATCAGATGCTATTCATTTCCTTGGGGCTCATTTGGGAAAGAGATGTCCCAACCTCTTCATTTTCCTGACTGTGAAAAGTCTTTTCCATTGTCTAACCTTAATGCCACATGCTAGTTTCTTGTAGGTGGGGCTTGGTAAGGAGGTAAGAGGTTCTGGGATTGAGGCTGCCAAGAAAACTGTACAGAGCTGCAATGTTCTGGTTGCACTCCCAGTGGGTGCTCTGAGCTTTGCTGCCTGTCCCCAGCCCCCACCAACACCCCCCCGACTCTCTTTCTTCTCATTGCCAAGACGCTTCCTTTACATCCTGCTTTGGAGTCAGACCTTAGCACTGGAAAAGGTATCTGAGACTAGCCTGGGAGAACAGAAAATGGACTCAGGGATCCGAAGATTTAGATTTGACTTCTAGCTCAAATAAGCTCCTTATGGTATGACTCTGACCCTGAGTTTCCTCATCTGTGAGATGGGAGTGAGAATTCCTGCCCTGCACCCTCCCAGAGAGTGTTACGGCACCAGTGAGGTGCTCCTTGTGAAGGTAGTTAGGCAATTCTAAATAGTACTTAGAAAGAAGGACTTACGGAGTATAACAGCCTCATTAACAGTAGCTTCCATTTTTTGAGCGCTGACCATGTGCCAGGTAGTTTACAGATGAGTTACATTTGGGAACTCAATCCTCTCACAGCTCTAGGAAGTACTGCACCCTATTGTCAGTCCTCTTGATTTTTTTTTCTTGAGACAGGGTCTCGCTCTGTTGCCCAGGCTAGAGTACAGTGGCACAGTCATGGCTCACTGCAGCCTTGATCTCCTGCGGCTCAAGTGATTCTACCCTCCCGAGTGGCCGGGACTACAGGCTTGTGCCCTACACCCCGCGAATTTTTTTGTAGAAAGAGGGTCTCACTTTGTTGCCCAGGCTGGTCTTGAACTCCTGGGCTCAAGTGCTCCTCCTTCCTCGGCCTCCCAAAGTGCTAAGATTACAGGTGTGAGCTGCTGTGCCTGGCCTTATTTATTTATTTTGAGTTATCAGTCCATTTTACAGATAAAGATAGTGAGACTCCGAGAGGTCAAGAAACACGCTTCACATCCAGCAAAATGGTGGAGCTGGGATTCAAACCCAGGTGTGGGATTTTGGAATCTTAATTCCTTATGCCACATGGAATTCAAGTGCAGAGGGACACCTGGGATTTGGAGAGGGGGCGTGATTGGCTGAAGGTCGCACAGGTTTCATGAGAAAAGCCAGGCCCCCTTCCCCTCTCCCGCCTCCCCACACCCCCGCGGCTCCCGTAGGTCTGATGCCAGACTTTTCCTTGGCCAGGTCCTGCAGGGGGCGGGGCATCCCGGGCACGGGAAGCTTTCTATAAATGGAAGTGGAAGGGAGCCGGCCTCTGCGCTCCCGCCCTCCCGGGACAGCTGAGGACACAGAGCCGGAACCGCGGCTTTTTCCACACAGGCTCCAAGTGGACTGGGTTTGTTGGGACAGGAGTTTTCTGGCTGTGTCCTGCAGAGGAGGCTGGGGCTGCTGACTTTGCAGAGCTCAAGGAGGGCTGGGTGTCCCCTTGCGACCAGGATCCAGGATACCTGCTTACTAATTTGGACACAGCTTTGGTGCCACCCCGGGCAAGCATCCTTTCCTCTCTGGGCAGACCTCAGTTGTCCCATCTGTATGATGGGGATATGATAGTAACAGACACCAAACACCTTGCATTTTCTCAGCAGTTCTCTGAGGAGGGTGCTATTGCTGCAGGGCTGGAGAGGTTGAGGAATTTGCCCAAGGTCATACAACGTGAACTGTGAATAGGGGTTTAAACCCAGGTGGTCTTCCTCCAGGGTCTCACACTTTTAGCCTCTGCTGCTGCTGCACATATTTAAGAACCCTGTCCAACATTGCCCCTTCTGGGATTCTGGAACCAAGAGGGACGGACCTGGAGCTGAGCACAGGGCAGGTAGCCCCTAAGCTCCTCTTCAGCTTCCCCTCACTTTTAAGGCTCCACATTGCCCTTGGATGTCCCAGGGCAGGGTTTACCCCTGTATTCCTGAAAGCTGCGCCTTTCGCGGCCCCACACACTCCTCTAACTTGCTCTTTCTTGGTGGAAGTGGTGAGGAGAGTCCCTGGGCCCGGGTCTCTGTGTGGTTGGGATGCACGGGGCAGGGGCAAGGAGGGCTCCAGCCACCTCCCCGCCCTGTTTGTGGGTGCCCCTCTCCGGCTCCCACTTCTGATTCTGACTCAGATCTCTTTCTTTGTTCCCAAGGACTCTGGGGAGTCCTGGCACCTTGGCAAATCCCCTCTTCTGTGTCATTGCCAACCTCTTCTCCTGACTTACTCTCTCCCTACGAGCCCAGGTCAGTAAAGGGAGAGGGTGGGGCAAGGGTAAAGCCTGAGTCTCCCCCAAAAGCACTTTGCCTGATTAGCCCAATCTCCACTGCACCCCGTATTTTTGAAAACTGGCTCCCGATCTTCCCATCCCTCCCACCCAGACCCGGTGACGCAGGATGTGGACCGCAGGCAGAGACTACAGGACCAGTGAAGGCCAGCCGCCCCACCTCCCATTCCTGCCTACCTCTGAAGGGCCCAGAGGGCTCCCGGAGTGCTGGGAGGCAGGAGGCCTGGATGCTGTGTCCAGTCCCTTTCCATGACCTCAGGCAAGCCTCTTCTCCCTGGCCCTCAGCTCTCTCATCTGTTCACCGAGGGGCACAGTTTTAGTTCCCTTAAAGTGCTGAACTCTGCGGTCTGTGATCCTGAGACCATCTCAGTCTCATCCACATCCTCCACCCCATTTCTCCCAATCTTCACTCTGAGCCCCGAGAAGTGGAGAAGCTGAGGACAAAAGGTTAAATGAGTCTGGGCTCACGCCTGTAATCCCAGCACTTTGGGAGGCTAAGGTGGGAGTATCACCTGAGGTCAGGAGTTCGAGACCAGCCTGGCCAACATGGTGAAACCCCGTCTCTACTAAACCTAAGAAAATTAGCCGGGCATGGTGGCACACACTTGTAATCCTAGCTACTTGGGAGGCTGGGGCAGGAGAATTGCTTGAACCCTGGAGGCAGATGTTGGCAGTGAGCCGAGATCATGCCACTGTACTCCAGCCTGGGCGACAGAGCAAGACTCCGTCTCAAAAAAAAGAAAAAAAAAATTAAACAGTTAAATGAGTCAGGGCTGGCAAAGGTGCTCAGTGTTCCTCTCTTCTTAAAGAATAAAGGCACCTACCTGGTGTCCACGGGTGGGCAGACTGTTGCGTTCACTACTGGCTCCTGGGACCAAGACGACTCAGAGTCCAGGTGAAGAGTCACGAGAGGCGCCAGTTCACCTCCAGACCTGCCTTAAGAGCAGCTTGCCCGCCCTCTCTCCTCCCCTCTGGGCGGGCCCTGCACGTGGCCCTGACAGCAGTAGGCCCCACCCCTGCTGGGTCCAATGAGCTCAGGTAGGGCTGACACAGGCAGCAGGAAGGGAAGTACTGGGTGGTGGGTTTTGGGGCCGGGTGTGTGTGAGGGGCTCCCAAGTTCCTGCTTGGCCTTCTTGTGGCACCACATGGCCAGGGAGTCCTTCCTTGGACAGGGCATTGCTAGGATCAAGGTGTGCAGTGGGCACTCCTCAGGTGCTGGCTGGGGCAGAGGACATGGGTTGGCAGAACTGGCAGAGAGTGAGGGCCTTGACAAAGCAGGGTGCCAGTGGGCAGGAGACCCTCTGCAGCCCCCCTTTGTGCTGCGTCATGCTGGAACAGGCACAGGGTAGGGGCCCACTGGAGGTAAGGCTAGGCACGAGCTTGTCTTTTCTTCTTTCTCTCCTTTTACAGTAATGACTCTAGCCTGGAATGGGGCCTCTAACTCAAGGAAAGGAGGCTGAAGTGTCTGGAGGCCTTCAAGAAGGGGCTTATAGCTGTTCCTTCACTCACGGGCTCTCTCCGTCCCTCGTCTGGTCTGTGCCTCAGGGTGGAAGTTCCCTGAGGGGAGGACATTGGAGGGTGATACCAGGAAGCCCGGAAGTCTGGTTTGGTAGCTCCTTCTCCGTGGTTCCAACTCTCTGCCTGTTCTAGAGGGGCCAGGGGTCCTAGAATGTTGTAAGGGGGTGTTCGGCCATGGTGGGGGAGGGCGCTGATGGCAGAGCCTGGTCTGGGGGCGCTGGTCTGAAGTGAGGGAGCTGGCGAAGTCTCCAGCCCAGGGACTTATGGTGACCCCAGTAGGCTAATCTCAGGGGTGGGTTGCCCCATGCCCCCATTATGCCCAGTGGAAGGGCTTCTGGCCTTACAGTTTTTGATGCCCTGGGGTTTCACTGAGGCATGGTGAGCTAGCGCATGGGAGGCTGGTGAGCAAAGCTATGCAAAGTTATATAAGGTGCCCCTTCCTGATGGTGACATAAAAGGTGTCCCTAGGTGTCCATGCAGCCTTGTTGGCACATGGCTTGGTGAGCGATTATGTCTTTGGATGAAAAATGTGATGCTCCTGCCCTGGAGTGGATGTCGCTGCACACGGTAGCTTCCCCCATGAGGCTGCGGCTCAGGATTGTGGGAGAGTGGGCAGGGCAACTGGTGAGTTTCTTGAGCGGAAGGGGCAGGTTACAATAGGGCGAAGTGTTGGGCTAAGACTGTGGCAACTCTGGGGTAACCCTGGCCATCTCCCCTGGGGCTGGCGTGGATAGCCTCTGCAGTGGTTCTTCAGGGCCAGGGGACCCTCCAGCCATTCAAACCCATACCTTGAGTTATGGTCTTTCTTGGCAGATTGGCTCTTTTGTTTCACACCCAGCTGCTTCCTTTAGCTTGGTGGTCCCAGAACACTGCCTCACAGACCCTGCCCAACACCATGCCACTGCCCTTCGCCATGATCATCAAGGGATGGATGGAATGGCATTTCTTTATACATCTGTAGATATGACATTTTTTCTTTAGCCTATGGATGTGATAGATTACATTACTTGACTTTTGAATGTTGAACCCTCCTTGCATACCTGGGATGAACCCCCTGGTCATGGTATATAATTCTTTTTTTTTTTTTTTTGAAATGGGGTCTTGCTATGTTACCCAGGCTGGTCTCAACCTCCTGGACTCAAGTGATCTTCCCATTTCATACTTTGGAGTAGCTGGGGTTACAGACATGTACCACTATGCGTGAGTCTGTATAATTCTTCTAATACATTGTTGGGTTCAATTTGCTAACATTTTGTTGAGGATTTTTGCATCTATGTTCATGAGTGATATTGGTGTATAGTTTTCTTTTGTAATGTCTCTGGTTTCAGCAATGCTGGCCTCATAAAATGAGTTGGGAAGTGTTCCTTCTGCTTCTATCTTCTGAAAGAGGTTGTAGAGAAGTGGTCCTATTTCTTCCTCAAATGTTTGGTAGATTTCACCAGTAAAACTGTCTGGTCCTGGTGCTTTCTGTTTTGGAAGGTTATTAATCATTAATTCAATTTCTTTGCTAGATATAGACCTATTCACAGCATTTGTTTTCAACCTCAAAATACACTATTTCCCTAGTTGACGGAATCACCTTGTCCTGCATCTACTCTTCTGAGAGAAGGGATTCCAAGTAGATTAAAAAAAAAAAAAAAGTCCAACATACATTTTGTTGTATTCTGCATGTCTCTCACTGAGGCAGAGGGAAAATCAGTTAAAGAAACTAAGAAATGTAATTTCTGACTGAGTATTTTTCTTGTAGAGAACCCACATTACTCATTCATTCAAAATGCATTTATTTGGCTGGGTGTGGTAGCTCACACCTGTAATCCCAGCACTTTGGGAGGCTGAGGTGGGCAGATCACCTGAGGTCAGGAGTTCAAGACCAGTCTGGCCAACATGGTAAAATCCCATCTCTACTAAAACCACAAAAATTAGCCGAGCATGGTGGTGGGCACATATAATCCCAGCTACTCGGGAGGCTGAGGCAGGAGAATCTCCTGAATCTGGGAGGTGGAGGTTGCAATGAGCCGAGATTACACCACTGTACTCCAGCCTGGGTGTCAGAGTGAAACTCCATCTAAAACAAACAAACAAACAAACAAACAAAAAACAACCACTTATTGAGTGCCCCTGCATTCAGATGTTAGGATGTAGAGATGAATGGGACAAGGCTCCTGCCCCCAAGGAGCACACTGTTCATAGGGGAGTATGACTCATAGACAGAAAGGCCCCCAGATCACAGCCTGGTGCAACCAAGAGGCCTACAAAAGGCTGGAGCTGAGCCATCTTCTGTCAGCGTTAGTCGCGTGTGGATACCGAGCACCTGAAATGTGGCTAGTCTAAACAAAGATGTGCTGTGGGTGCAAAATACAATTCAAATTTTAAAGACTCAGTATGAAAAATTATATGAAATATCTCAATAGTAATTGAAGAATTTTTTTTTTTTTTTTTTTTTTTTTTTAGAAATGCAGTTACATTATGTTGCCCAGGCTGGTCTCAAACTCCCAGCTTCAAGCTATTCTCCTACCTTGGCCTCCCAAAGGGCTGGGATTACAGGCGTGAGCCACCATGCTGGCTCGGTGATTTTTTATATTGATTGTGTGTGGAAATGATGCTGTTTTATAGATACTGGGTTAAATAAAAATATTATTGAAATTAATTTCCTCTGCTTCTTTTCACTTTTTAAGATGTGTTTTATTAGTTTCCCGAGGCTATTGTAACAAATTACCACAAACCTGATGCCTTAAAACAACAAACATCTATTCTGTCACAGCCTGGAGCCTGAAATTGGACAGGGCCATGCTCCTTTCCGGCCCTGAAAGGGAGAATCCATTCCTTGCCTCTTCAAATTTCTGGTGGCTGTCCTGGAATTCCTGAGCTTGTGGCTGCGTCACTCCAGTCTCAGTCTCCGTCTTCACATCTCCTTCTCCTCTTCTGTCTGTCTAATCTCTCTTTGCCTCCCTTTTATTTTCTTTATTTATTTTGAGAGAGGGTCTTGCTTTGTTTCTCAGGCTGAAGTGCAGTGGTACCATCATGGCTCACTGCGGCCTCGAACTCCCAGGCTCAAGCAATCCTTTTGCTTCAGCCTCCTGAGTAGCTGGGACTATAGGCACATGCCACCACACCCAGCTAAGCTTTTAATTTTTTTGTAGAGATGGAAGTCTCACTATGTTGTGCAGGTTGGTTTCAAACTCTTGGCCTCAACTGATCCTCCCACCTCAGCCTCCCGAGTTGCTGGGATTACAGGCCTGAGCTGCTGTGCCCAGCTCGACGCTGGGCACTTTTTTCAGCAGCTGGTTTCTAACATCCAGTGTTCAGCTTTGTGGGCATCAAGAGGTTGCTGCCGAAACAACTTCCTGAATCAGTTATGATGATGGTTCTTGAAGCCCACAGACCCTGAGCGGCTCCTGATTCTTTTTTTTTTTTTTTTTTTTCTGAGATGGAGTCTTACTTTGTTGCCCAGGCTGGAGTGCAGTGGTGCGATCTCAGCTCACACTGCAGCCTCCACCTCCTGCGTTCAAGCGATTCTCCTGCCTCAGCCTCCCGAGTAGCTGGGACTACAGCTGTGCGCCACCATGCCTGGCTTTTTTTTTTTTTTTTTTTTTTGTATTTTTAGTAGAGACAGGGTTTCGTCATGTTGCCAGGCTGGAACTCCTGACCTCAAGTGATCGTCTGCCTCGGCCTCCCAAAGTGCTGGGATCATTACAGTTGTGGACCACTGTGCCTGGCCACTCCTGATTCCTTACTCTCCTGCTGGTACCAGAGGGCAAGACTCCCAGGTGGATTGCTCGGCCCCTGTCTTCTGGGAGCTATTCCTGCAGTGCAGCTTGCTCCTCTGGCCCTCTTGATCATTTTCTAAGGACAGAATACTGCATGAAATTCCTCTCTGCTTACACCAGCTAGTGTGGCTTCTGTTTCCTGCAGGTGACTGATGCACATGGGTGGGGCCAGGGTGTAGACTGGCCTGAGCGGTGGGAATTTTCTGTGGTGGGCGGTGGAGATACAGAGGGAGCCTTTAAGCAGGTCAAGGTCAGGGAGGGAGTGACATGAACATATGTGTGACTTAGGGAGGTCCTGTTGCTTCAGGGAGGTGCTGAGCCCCCTGAGAAGGTAGCAGAGGTGCAGACTTCACTTTTCTCTGGGAGTCCCTCTTCTGTGGGGTTAAGACAGACCCAAAAGATTGGAGAGAGATGTTCTTTGCTTCAGTGGGGCAGATGATTGACTTTGAGTATTTAGACTGCAGAGCATTCTAGGCTTTATTTGCCACATGCAAATCTAAAATGAATAGCAGGGAGGACTTGACAGTAGAGAAGATAGTGAGAATTTTGGTAACCAAAAACCAGGCTTGGGATCAAGAGAGAACAGAGCAGGTAAAAGCTCAGCACTGGCGCTCTGGGTGTCTGAATTCACACTTAGTCTCCATTGCCAATTTGCTGTGATACTCCAGGAAAGAGAGTTACCCTTTT